TTGTTTTTTTTTATTATTTATTTATAGATGGCCACATTTAAAATTTATAAACCCATGGGACAATTGTTTTTGTTTTCTCTAACTTATTAAACTGTGAACAATTAATCTGTAATTCTAATTAGTAATCTATAGTTCAATGAGCAAGAGAGCTATTTGGGTTGATCTTGAAATTATCTTGGTATATTTCTAGAGTTGGTTACAATAGAGGAGCGTCGTTGTCTTGAATTTGAGGGAAGGTGATGATATCAGGGAAAAAGTTGTTGGGGTCGTGTATAGGGATTGTCACACACTTGTAGCGATAGTGACTCACGTGAAAGTCGTTATTCTTGAGGTTGGTCAGGATAGGGAGGGGAAGGCCATATCGGCAATTCCGACTAATTGGGGAGGTAGTAGACCTAGTAAGAATTGGAGAAGGCGAGATCTCAGGCACAGGCATAGTTATTGCCTCAATCTACTTTTGTTTCTTCGGACTTGTTCATTGGGAGGTTCAATTAGACTCGGGCTTCTTCGAGTCAATCGTGGAATAAAGGACCACCTACTTATTCTAAATGTGGTCAGTCAAGCCATATTTGACGTCGTTGCCCTCTGCGTGATCAGAGCCAATTTTAGTAGTCCAAGCGGGGACAGTGGTGATCTTTTGGTGTGGTAGCTTCTATTATTTTGTGATGTAATGTGATGTTATCTTATTTTGGGCTTTATGTCCACAGATATTGCATATGTATGTATATGTGTTGTAAACCCAAATGGTATAGATATGTAATTAATCTTGAACTTCTTTGTATTATATTGAAAATCTTGTGAGGCTCGAAAATTCTAGTTTTATTATGTTGTATTATCTTCCTGAGTTAGGCATGTGTTGGCTTCTGATGTCTTGGATTGATTTAGAGTGGCTTGTTGAGAAGCAGGGGTTTGTTTGTTGTTTTGACTAAACTTGAATGTAGTGAGGATGGAGTATATGGCTCTAACTGTGTTTGTTTTGGGGGTGGTGTGATACCTTAGGGTTCTGTGAGATGCATAGGAGTTACTTGGTGGATTGTGAAAGTGTTTAGGGGAAATATGAGACTCGTGTCTCCTAATGATGAGGGTAGTGTTTGTTTTGTGGTTCATTGAGACTTCGTAGTTGTGAGTGGATGTGATTCAGTGGTGGTGTTGCTAGTAATTGTGTGGGGATTTGTGAGAGGGGTGAGAAATTTTGGGTTGAATATTGAAGATATTACTTAGGGAAAAACATGGTGGTATTTCTGGGGGATGAGTGTAGTGTTGGTGATGAGTGTGTTTGCTATATAGGCATCTGAATGGTGGTTTGTTTGGGGAGCAAGAGTGGTGTAGTCTAATCTTAACGAATCTTGTGTGATTCAAGAAATATGTGGGTTTGTGTGTAGAACTCCATTTTGGAGTAAACAATGTTGGGTAGCTTGTCGGTGTTTGGTGCTGTGTGTTGAGGGTTATTGAGTTGGTTAGTCGGTTGGTTGTTATCAGGATTGGGTTGACACATAGTCACCTTGAGAATAGTGTGGAATTGAACATAAGGGTTGTAAGGTTGAGTAGTGGTATAGTGTGGACTGGTGAGTGTTAAGTCTCATGTAGGCTAATGTGAAGTTGGTGTGAGTTTGTAGTAACCAGGTTGGGGTTACTTGTTAAGGCCTTCATGTTGTGAACGTTTTTGTGTTGTAGGGTGATTGATAGATTGTGATGGGATGAGGTTCCCAAGAATATGGGAACTTTATTTGTGTTGTATTGTATTATTAGCATGGATGTTATTCCTATTAATTTGTTATTATAGAAATGTTGTTTTGGTGTTGGGAGACCACCTGACGACATTCTGCAAGTCGAAGAAGAGACATGGACAATGTACTTTGACGGAGCCGCTAATCAATATGGTTATGGGATAGGTGTGTTGCTCATAGCACCCGATAATTCCCATATACCCATAGCTTTCAAGCTCCGGTTCAGAGTTTCCAACAATGAAGCAGAATATGAGGCGTGCGTCGCTGGCTTGGAAGCTGCCCTAGAACTAGGGGCAATAAGATTGGACGTCATCGGAGACTCGAACCTAGTTGTTTCTCAAGCCAACGGAGACTGGAAGGTCAAAGAAGAAAAAATGAAGGTTTATCATCAGACCCTAGACATGCTGATTCCGAGGTTTGAAAAGTTGACATTTACACATTTGCTAAGAGAGAACAACCGGTTCGTTGATGCAATGGCAACTCTATCTTCCATGGTAGACATCTTGCTTGGAGTTAAGATGCATCCGATCATCATTGAATAGAAATATACACCTGCTTACGAGATCATTGCTACAATAGATGAGGTTTAAGACAAGAACCCTCGGTATTATGACATTTGGAACTTCTTAGAAAAGGACATTGTAGATTGCCCCGGAACTCCGCTCTCCGCACGTGAGGGCGTGAATCGCTTTGTTCTTAGCTACTACAGTTCAGACTCATGTCACGGTTCTGAATCTAATTTCGCAAAGTGAAATGCAAGATTGACAAATCACCAAAGAGTCCAAATCTGGCAAATCATTTTGGAAAATCGATTTTAATAAAGAAGTGTCAAACATGGATTGCTTTGCCAGATACAGAGTCGCCACCTAAATGTTTTGTTTTGGGGAAATTTAGGAAACCCTAACTCGTGCCTAAGGCCACGTGTCCGTCATTACCAAAGTTGCCTCGGCTCAGGAACTTGGGTACGAGAGGGGAAGGTCATGCAATGAGCACCCCTGCTCGCCCGATCAAAGATTGGCCTTTACTAACATGATATATTATTTTTGAAAACACATGTACTCTTATTCCGGTTATTAATCTAACCTTACTACGTGATGCGCACAACATACAAGTATAGACTGGATCGCCTAAGTTGGAATGAAACATTTCATGTTCGTTTGTTTAAAAAACGTTTTGAAGTTGCTACTTGCAAGTAGGCTAAGTCGCGGATTTCAATGAATTGTTCCAATTCAAGCAATCCAACCTTCATCCATAGGCATTCAAGCAGTTAATCACTTAAGCAGTTAGCCTCATGGCAAGTGTAGACACCCCATTTTTGACCGTCCTCAAGACTTGGACGTCACCGTTTGAACACTCGGTGATTATCCATGTTTGTGTTCGTTTGGAGTTCCCGAAGGTCTCGGCTCGCGCGCCTTGCCTCAGGATCCCCGAACTCGACCGTTTAGTGTCTGGTTTTGCACCAAACACTTGCATCTTGCCCTTGAGAGGCAGGGTAGGGCTTGTAGACCATCCCCACCCACCACCGGCAGTGGCTAGATGCCACCGGTTGGTTTTTGTTGCCACCGGCAATATAGTTTGCCGGCCGGCACTATTTGTTGCCGACCGGCACTCTTTTTGGCCAAGATGGCATTTTTGGCAGGCCGACTACTAGCTTGGTTTGCCAAAGAAATTCGCAGAGAATGGGCTGTACAGGGAATCGCAGACTGCACTCTATGATAGAAATAACATTAAAAGGGACAAAGCCTTGTTTTCCCCAGGGGAACAGTTTTTAGCTCGGCCAGTGAGAGGTGGACATCGTCTGGAATTTGGTAGTCCTTACGAAATTCAGCTATGGCCCCTGGTGAGTTTACTAAAAATCTATACTTTCCCATTTTTTAAGTTATGAATAAATTAAACTGGGTGTTAGCCTGGTCGTAGAATGGTGCTAAGTAGCTCGGTTGAGCACTCAATGGAGTGCCTGGGCAACCTAAGTCTACAAAGTGAAAAAAAAACAAAGGTGTTAAGCACAGATCATTGGACCGTGCTAAAAGAAATAAAGGCAAGATAAATGAAGTCCTAGCGCGGCTATGTGAAATTGCTTCGTGTCTTCCAAAACAACCCGGTCTTCACCTACAGGTAGCTCGGTTGTGGCAAGCTCCTCTGGGTTAAGCTCGGTTGAAACCGCAGCATCAGATGCTCCTAGCAAAGGAGGGATGGAGACATCTGGAGTGGGGGAGGAAGACTGGCGACCGAGCTCAGTGTTGTCCTCGAGAGCTTCATCTTCTTCATCCTCTTCCAAGAATTGTTGTTGAATGGCTGCAACATACTCCGCCATTGAGCTCGGTATAAAATATGGTGGAGGATTAAGGACCTCGGTCTATAGTTGATGACCGAGCTGCGCGACAGCCGCCCTCTACCCGCATTTGAAAAATAGATCCTACGCAGCTTCGTATTGCTTGATGTACAAGGCTTCGCCTTCTTTGAAACCCCAGTTCTCAGCATCTTCCAACTTCTTCTCGAGCTCAGTTATTTCGGCTTTCTTTTTTCCTTCGAGCTTGGCCAGGTCGCGCAAATACTCGTCTTTTATCAGCGCTGCGGCCTTCTGCTTGTCTGCCTCAGACAAGTTAACAAGACCGATCAGATGACCATTCTCGTTTTGTAGCTCAGCTATTTGCTTCTTGGCCTCTTCTAGCTCAGCCACCTTTTCATTCACCTCGGCCATTGCTTGCCTGGTGGTTTTTCGAAGTTCCAACACTCACTTGTGAGCGATGTGGTTCTTCTGGATAGCTTGCACAAGGATGATAAAGCAACTCTTGAGTAAAACTGAGCAGAAAGTTAGAAGAGATAGAAAGATAAGAGAAGGACCGACTTACCAGCACCATTGATTTTGTGGCCGAGCGAATGGCCTTCAATTCGGTTAGGTGGTCATGGTAGCCAATGGGGGTTATACCAGATCGGGAAGGCAAGTTCAATTTTCTTGCTAGCAATTGGTCTGTAACACCTTCAGCCCTCTCACTCAACTTGTTAGATTCTATCATGAAAGCTCATGTGCAAAGCAGTGATGTGCCTTATCATTCACGATATGTCAGATATGGTGGTTTTACTGAGTATTCCTTGCTTCCTGGTCAAAAACCCGAGCAGCATCAAGGAAATTGGTTGAGGGAACCACCACTTCAATTATATCTTCATATTCCCACTCAGTCAAGAGGGCTGATTCCTCGGCCTGTACTGGTACAATAACCTGAAGCAGTGAAACCTAAAGATGGGAATTGCAAACTCTTTGGTATAACACTCATCAGTAATCATGTAACCACGGAGCCAGCACACTCGCATAAAACTACTATTGAAACCGATCAAAGGTCTGTACAAATAAAGGGTGTAAATATGGCAGATCAACCACTTCCTAGTGTTGAGCAGGAAAAACCATCCCAAATGTGTCAGCCACTTGTGAGGGATTGCCTTAGGAAAGTCCAGGGTGGTTCAACAAGGAATTGTACCAAGGTCCGCACCTATTTATTTGCATATATTTGGCTTTTAATGCCATGATCATTCTGGGTAGTGTTAGATTAATTTGCTTGAATGAATGTTGTGATGATTTCAGGTTCATAAGCGGAGGATTGCTCTCGGTAGGTCTGTGGACCTTACGAAGTTCAGTAACTATGAAGAATTGATTGCTGAGCTGGATCAATTATTCGAATTTATTGGTGAACTGAAGGCAAGGAACAAGAATTGGTTGATTGTATTCACTGATGATGAGGGTGATATGATGCTTGTTGGAGATGATCCATGGCCGTAAGGACTCTTTCTGGGTTTTTTTTTTTCATGTTCATTATGTATTAGCCATGAACTTTGTTGTCGGCTTTTGTTGTTTGTACTTGCATCTTCCATTTATTTGAATCATCCAGATGTATGAATGCAATAACCTCCTAAAGGGTATCATTCCCCGTTTGGTGCTTGGTGCTTGCAATTGATTTTTTTTTGTTGTTGTAGCAAATGTATATATGATTTTATTATAAAAATAATGATTTGCGACAGTAAAAAAATAGTCGCTAATTTTTTTTTTTCGACGACAAAATAGCTATTGCAGAAAGTAAGTTAGGCAGTCGCAAATAGTTTGCGACTGTTATTTTGTGGTCGCAAAAAGTATTTGCCACCCCCACATTTGCGACCCTCATTTGCCCTCGCATGGGCCATCACAAAAAGTCTTTTGCGACTGTTTTTTTATTATTTGCAACGGCTTATAGCGGTCGCAAAAAGTACTATTTTTAGTAGTGTCATTGAAATTGTTAGTCATGGCTCTCAATTCTCCGTAAGAAAATTTGGTAGACGTCCCTGGTACTTGATTGACAGAGAACTCATCAAAATCCCCAGACTCTTGTTTCTTCTTGAAAAGGAAAATGCAAGAGGCAACCACAAAAAATACACCAAAGAAAGCTCCGAGACTTGAACCCAATATGATCTTGACTTGCCCTGATTTCCTTTGAGGAGAATTTGTTGGTGAAGGAATAGGATACTGTATAGTCAGAGACTTGTGCACTTTAAGAAATACAGTAATTGTTATAAACTCCTCTCTCATTATTTATAAGAGAAAAAACTTCAAACAATAATATGCAACCTTTCCATGTATCATACACCCAATCATATGCAAACAAAGCGGCTTTGCATGAACAGTTTTCCAAGCAACTCTTCTTTTAATCCTCTAATGCTATGTTTTCATCCATGTAATTTGTGTATGAGCATGAGTTGTAGTTAAAGTAACTAATATTCTTAAGCTCCAAAAGGGTGTGATATTGAGAATTGTTACAAGAAATGGGTGTAACAAGGGAACATCCAAGGTTGGGTTGCCTATAATTTATTTGCCTGAAAGTGTTGTTGCCGATGGCTTCCTCAGGACAACTGCACCGTCCATTTGAAGAATAGATGCCGTAATTGCCACACACCATGGGATAACCACAGTCACCAATATCTGATGTCATCAGATTAGCCATCACATTCCAATTCAATCCACCCATTCATAAGCCGTCAAATGCCCATCAGGATCCAACCTTATGAACTGAGGTGACGATGATGATGCAACAGGGATTTTCTGCCCCAAAAAGCTTTCTTTCTCGAATGTAGCATTTGTCGCACCTAAATAGGATTGAAAATAGGGCAAGGGTGGATTGGATTCTACATAATCTGCCAGATTGTAATTATAAACCGTAAGAGAATACGAACCTCGAGCCCAGTTCGATGAGGATGTACTGGAGGTGAGCTTCTTGTCAGGAAACAAAGTCTGGCCAACAAGTAAGGAGTCAATTGGATGATCAAACGACTGCCAAACCGTTGCATTGTTTCGATCAAAGAGCAGCAAGTTTCCCAATTCGGTGACTTTCATGCCAAAGACGGACTTTGCAGATGTGTTGGTAGACCATATGAAAGTTCCATCGGCGTCTTCCAATCACAAATCTCCATCTCGAGTGAGTTGTAAAGTGGCGTTAATTTGAACAGGACGGTCCCGGTTAGCTGACCAAACAAGTTGAGGGTAATTTATAAGGGAAAAGTTGCCGAAATGCAGAAAACTTGTATTTTGGAAGATTACAACACCGAAGAGGCATGATGATGGCTGAATTTGTTGTGTAGAAGGGCAATAGAAGCCACACATCATTTGTGAGGCATTGGATGGTGATGTTTGGAGGACTGGAGTGAGATTTGAACCCTGAATATCGGAGGAATTAATGTAAATTGAGGGGTTATTGATCCAAGAAGTAGATAACTTAGCTATTGGAGATGGAGATTGGGCATTGTTGAAGAAGGGTAGAGAGGCAATGAAAAAGGTGAAAACAGCAGGAAGAAGATAACAAATAGAGCAAGACAGAGCTATTGGTGGTGGTGGTCTATCCATTAGAGCTCTGTTTCTTCTACGGAAGAAGAAAGCGGTGAGTTGCAAAGTCTCGAGGATTTAATGCACAGCCCAATAATGATAGAGAAACTCACAATACCTAACCCCATACCTCTCAAAATGTTTTAAATTATTTATGTTACTGTCAAACACAATTCTTAAAAAAATTCAAACACATTAAATGGTCAATACATCTATGGGAGTCTTCCTTTGTGGGGGTCCCAAACACTTTCCATTGCACAACCGAGGGGCAACGCAAAAAGCAGTGCATTTGTGTTGTATATATGAAAAATATTATGTAAATTAGTGTTATATATTATATAAAGGCTTAATAATTTGTTAGAATATTTTTCAATCCGCCTAAAATCGTTTAAATTGCAATTTGTCAATCCGTCAATCTGTTAATTAATTTACTTTCAAACTGTCCGAATCATACCATGCACATCTACTTGAGTAAGTGTGTGTGTTTGGGGGTATGTTTTTTAGTAGTTTTTCAGTTTGTTTATTTTCATCTTTAGTTTAAAAAAAAAAAAAGTTTAAAAAATGAAAGTTCTAGATTTTTGGTTTTTACTTGACCACATGAATTGAAATTTTTTTTAAAATTTTAAAAAAATGTCGAGAAAATACAGAAATCAATGTGTTTGGTTTCAGTTTTCTGAATTCAGTTTTTGAAAATTAAGGTTTTTATTTTTCGTATTTTTTTTTGTTTTTAGTAAATATTTTTAAAATTTTAAGCCTTTTTTTTTTAATTTTTTAAATTCAGCTTACTTAGATGTATTTTTTTTTTTGTATTTTTGGTATTTAGTGAATTTTTTAAAGTTTTTTTTAACAAAAATTATACTTTTTAAGTGTATTTATGTTTAAGTGTGTCTAAAAATTAAAAAAATTGATTAAAATATTAAAAAATCAGTAAAAACCAAAAAAAAAAATTACAAAAAAACAAGAAAGTAGAATTTTCTGAAAAATGTTTTCAAAAAACTGAAAACAAACATTTTTTTTTTGGGGGGGGGGAGGGGCCTTATTATGGCTTATCCAATTCTTTTTGTAATTTTTTTTAAAAAAAATTACTTTTTAAGCTTGTCTACACAGATTCGGAAAGTAAAAAATTTTAATCAGTGTGTTTGGTTTTAGTTTTTTGAATTAAGTCTTTTGAAAACTCAATTTTTTGGTTTTCGTATTTTTTTGTTTTTAATGAATTTAAAATTTTAAATTTTTTTTTTACTTTTTTAGATGCACCTTACTTAAATGTATCTAAAAAGTAAAAAATTTGTGAAAAAATATTTTAAAATTTTAATAAATACATAAAAATATAAAAAATGTACTGAATTCTCGTATTTTTTTTATATTTTTGGTATTTAGTGAATTTTTAAGATATTTTTTTCACAAATTTTTTACTTTTTAGGTATATTTATGTTAGGTATGTCTAAAAAATAAAAAATAAAAATTGCTTAAAATATTAAAAAAATTCAGTAAAAACAAAAAAAATACGGAAAATAATAAAGTAGAATTTTCTAAAAAGGTGTTTTTGAAAAAACACAACCAAGCAAGCTGATCATATTTGAAAAAATATCACCAAAGACCCAAAAAAAAAAAAAAAAAAAAATTGTTTATTTGGAAGTTCCCAAACAAAAAACTGTGGAGGATTAGTTTTTCTTTAGTGATAGACACATGGCAATTCGTGGATAATGGGACAAAGGATTGGGATCTGGACGGAGGCTTGGGACAAGTAAAGGAGACAAAGGATCTTGACTCAACAATTACTAATGTTTGGGTCACTGAGCACAAGGTTTCCCTCTTTTGTTTTAGTTTAAATCATGTTCGTGGTGAATTAAACCAAAAAAAAATAAAAAATGAACTAAGCTGAATCAAATCATAAAATTAACTGTCCAACAAGTATAAAAAGAACTTCACATCTCATACTTGCCATCGAGACCTTAATGCATATTTATGAAGTATAGTTGAAGGGAGGTCTACTGTGGTCTATCCTACCAAAAGGGAGAACAAATTAATGTTACAACTTACAACTAGTATGTTGATTGGAGTAAACACCCTAATCAAGTTTTCGAAGGCAGGTGCATTAATTGAAGTGGTTCCAAAGAAAATTTATTTGGTGATCCTGAGGTATTGTCAGGTGATGCCTTAGAAATATTGTCAGGAATGTTGTGATTAGTGAAAAAAGTGTAGCTCGCGAATTTATATTAGGACATGGAAAAACAATAAGAGATTTGATATTTGGTGATTGGTACACGTGACAACTGATACCACTAAATAATTTTTCCTCCAAAGAGGATCAATTCATAGTCATATCTGCCCCAAGGTGTCCCACCCAGGCTAGCCACATGCCCAATTGACTGCTATATATCATGCACCAAGAGGGTAACATTTCAAATTATTGGAATATAACCAACTACACACAAATTATTGAACAAGGATAAAATGATGTTAGTTTTACAGTTAATTTAAATGTAAATTATATTTAAATGTCAGAGTGTCTTGACCAATTTTGTGTCATCATGATATGGCATCTAGCTTCTTTGTTACTTACTCCTGCTTTCACCATCATCACTCTCTTTGCTATTCAATTCATCCAAATCCAATCATTTGGAATGAAGATGTTCTGAATGAATGAATGTAATCATTATGTTCTTTCATCCAATCAGATCAAAGCAAAGTTGCTTGATCACCATGCACCTCAATTGTTGGAAAAATTATTTCGTCATTCAGCGCAGCACGTAGTTGTACTTTTGACCAATCGCAAACCATCATGACCTCTGTTGCTGTTTCCTAAACAACCACCACAAATCGCAAACCACCAAGCCCACAGTTGTTTCCTAAACACCTAATACAAAATCATGAACCCTACACATTCTGTTGGAGAAAAGAGTTAAAAACAGTGATTGATTAACAAGAATGAGTAAATAAAAGTAGTGAAAAGAAAAATTATTGAAAAAAATAGAGTATGAAGCGTGGAGGCACGAAACTTAATCCGTTGTCCTTTAGTAAATATAAACAATGCGGAGG